TTAAAAAACTGACACAACTTATTATCTGGATAGTGATTATCAAATTGACTATTAATGGTACAAACAAACAAGGCCCAATCAATGCAATTTTGAGATAAAATTTGAATCTGATCCTTATTATAAGGAGTAATAAACATGTCTGGTTCTTTACCAAACATTTGTAGGCTTACTTTATGGGCTTTAAACAACAAGAAAACTACTGCCAGTGTGTAAGGTAAAACAATCTTGGAGGGTGAAGCTTGCAAATGAACCCATAAAATATGGCCCTCCTGCCAAAAGGCACCTGTTGAAAATGTTTTGAGACAAAAACCACAAATAACAGATTCCTTGAATAGTCTACATAATTTAAACTAGCTTGTTCAAGACCTTCCTGTACCATTTTCAAGCATTCCCTAGCCTCTTCATTTAATTGTTTGGGGGAAGTGAGTGATGCATCTCCCTTAAGAATATCAAAGAGAGGGCTGGAGAGATGGCTTAGTGGTTAAGAGCACCGACTGTTCTTCCAGAGGTTCTGAGTTCAATTCCCAGCAACCACATGGTGGCTCACAACCATCTGTAATGGGATGCAATGTCCTCTTCTAGTGTGTCTGAAGACAGTGACAGTGTACTCATATACATAAAATAAATAAATAAATATTTGAAAAAAAAAAAAGAATATCAAAGAGAGATTTTGACTGTCCTGTGCTTAATTGTAAGGAAGATCTCAACCAATTTATGTCTCCTAACAATGTTTGATAATCATTTAAAGTTTTCAGAGTATCTATTCTAATCTGTAACTTCTGAGGACGAATCCCCTTTTTAATAATTCATGTCCTTCCTCATTTTGACATTTTAAGATCTTACTGCTCTTGAGGGGTGTGGCAGCTGTCCCCACTCCTTGTAAGGTGGAAGAGGATCTATTCAGGGGCCAGCTACTAGGCCAAGATGTTTTAGATATCACAGTAGTATCTGTACCAGTATCCAGAATTCCTTGCATAGGCTTTCCATCAATCCAAAGGTAAGTGTAGGGCAGTCCTCGAGGGTGCAAACCCAGAAGGCAGCAGTCCCTGTGGATCCAAATCCTTCATCACCTCTAATATGCTTAATTGTAGCATGTTTAGTGGATAACTGTGGCAAGAGAACTAGCTGAGCAATTCTGTCTCCCTGGGGAATAACTACAACTCCCCTATGCACAGTGACCATAATTTTAATTTCTCCAGTATAATCTGAGCCTATCACTCCCGGAAGGATCCTAATTCCCTTCAACAAGGCATTGCTACACCCTAGGAGAAGGCCTAGACTTCCTGAAGTGATAGGGCCATACACTCCAGTATCTAATACTTGAGGGCCCATTTGAGGTGTCAATACTGCTCTGGCGGAGGAGTAGAGGTCCAATCCTGTATTTCCTGGGTTACCTCCGACAAGTTCTTTGACACAAAGGGGTTGGTTTGAGGCACAAGCGGAACTGGAGAGGGGTAATAGTGGTATTCATGGCTCCATACACTTTGGTTTGTGGGGCCCAGAGCAGGCCCCGCCGCCCGTTTCCCCGGAGTGGGGGGAGAACGGCCATCAGCGTCTAATTTTGGCTTGCATTCATTACCCCAATGATGGCCTTTTTTGCATCAAGGGCACAGACCCGTAATTCCCTTGTTCCTTGGACAGTCCCTCTTAAAATGTCTAGCTTGGCCACATCCAAAGCAAGTTTTATTCTTGCCAGATCCTTTTTGCATGGCATCTGCAAGTACTTGTCCCATAACAAAATTTCCATCAATTTCCTTGCATACTCTAGTATAATCATTTAAGGTTTTTGATCTATGTGGTCTAATGGCTTCCTTGCACCATTTATTAGCATTTTCGAAGGCTAACTGTTTTACTAAGGGCATGGTGGTATCAGCGTACCCAAACAATTTTTCTGCTAACTGGAGTAGTCTATTCGAAAATCTTGGAAGGGCTCAGAGGGTCCTTGAACCACCTTAAATAGTTGATCTCCAGCTGCCTTCTTAGGCAAAGCTTTCCAGGATCTAACGGCTGCAGCGGCAATTTGGGCATAAACAGCAGGGTCATAATTAATCTGCTGATGGAGAACAGCATATTGTCCTGATCCAGTTAGCATTTCCAGATTTCTCTGGGGCTGCCCTCCCTGTGCATTTAATCTTGCTAAGATAACACATTGCTCCTGACATTCTCCCCTCCACAGTAAATAGTCTCCTCCACTCAACTTCATGCAGCATAGTTGTTGCCAATCTCCTGGGGTTAAATTAAATGTGTTATAGGACCCAAAAATTGCCAAAGTAAAGGGTGCCAAGGCCCCATAGGAGGAAAATACTTCTTTGAGGCTCTTTAATTCCTTAAAAGACAAAGGCATATGCTGCCTAAGCATTTGCCCAGGGTTATTAGGGTGAGGGACTTCCATTACAGGATAAGCATGATTGGAACTTGCTTTAGAAAAAATTACCCCCTTCTTAGGGATGGCCTCCTCTACTCACCAATCCCTCAGGGGAGCATTCATCATATGCCGGAGGAGCAGTGGCCTCTGTAGTATCCACCAAAGGATTTTTACTAGGTGGTTGCTCCCCTTTCTAATCTGCTCCCTTTCAGACTTTGCATTTTTTCAATATTTCCTTTAAATAAGCATTTCTTTTTCTAAAGTTTCTTCCTCATCCTCAGAACTGGAGCTATTCTCCACCTCATACAAAGATTTTTTTAGCTGCATCATCCTGTGCCACTACTCCTAGAAAGGAACTTACAATCCCCATGGCACAATCAAAACTCACATAGTGCTACTTTCAGTTTTATTCTGGGCCGCTTCTCCAATACATTCCACTCACTGCGCCAGCCGGCTTCTTTCAGGAATGATCCAATCAGGTTCTCCTCATTTTCCCGATTTTGGTGGAACCCACACTTGACAGCACCAGTGCTGCCACAGTACCGAGCTCTCAGGCGTAGGCCTGGGGGATTAAAGGAAGACACAGAGTCGGGTCATTAGTTATGAGAGAATGCCAAAGTTTTTACTGAGCAGGTTCAATATATATACCAAGACAGGGAAGGAAAAACACAAACAGGAACTCAACTTGGGGTCAATGGGCTGTCAAGTGTAAATTCCTTTCCTAGGGCACCATGTCTACATCATGATGTTTTGATCTTAGAAAAAACGTTACTTAGCAGAACGTTACTTAGTAGACAGCAGCACACGGAAAGTCTCAGCATGTAGGGCATGGCAGCCCTTCGGGGACCTACAAGTTTCTATTTGAATATATTTTGCAATTTTTTAAGTGTAACCTAGTGCAGATATAAAAATTAATTATATGGACTGAAGAGATGGCTCATTAATAAAGAATATTTGCTGGTCTTAGGACTAGAGTTTGATTCCCAGGACCCATGGCAGATGACTTTAAAGTGCCTGTAACTCCAGCTCCAGAGAATCCAACAATCTTTTCTGGCCTCCACAGGCACCTGCACACACACACACACACACACACACACACACATTAAAAAGAAAGAGTGACAGATTTACATATTCATTACTTAATTTTGATAATTTTAACTTTTAGGTGGAAAAAGTAAAACCTTTATTTTATTTTTAATTATATCCCAAATTATTGCCCTTATTATCCCAAAGAAACTCTTTTGTTTATCATTTGCAATACACCATATGAATACCATATAAAAGTTCTTCACCTATGTGAATAGCAGGAATCACATGCTCCTCTCTGGTTTTAACCTTTGTTTTAGCTTACTCAGGGACGCAGCTCACTAGGAATCTACAGATTAAGCCGTGGGATCTCAGTGAACACAGCATCATGTGGCTTAGATCTTACAGGATGGCTTTTTCCTGTTTGACCAGAGTAAAAATTTACAGGTGAGTGTATTTCTTATTCTAGTAGAGATTTGCATAATTATATGTAATGGCAGTTTAGTTTTGATTATGTTTAATAAATTTGGCCAGTATGTTAAAGCTCATGTGGTCTAATTTAAGTCACTTTTACTTGTTTAAATATTCTTTAATAATTATTTTGTAATAATTTTTAGGTTTGGAAAACTTCAAGTTCACCTAAAAGTTAGAAGGAAAATACAGTACATAGCCATGAATGCTACTTATTTAAATTCAGAGATAATTTTTATTTCTAATGACGATTCGACTCATCTCTTTCAAGTTCACCAGCCCACTTCCACCTTGGAGAGTGCCTTTTTCCCCTTAATAACCCTGTCTTAGTTAGGGCTTCTACTACTGTGAAGAGACACCATGACCATGGCAAAACTCACTCTCTCTCTCTCTCTCTCTCTCTCTCTCTCTCTCTCTCTCTCTCTCTCTCTCTCTCTTTTTTGGTTTTTCACGACAGGGTTTCTCTGTGTAGCCGTGGATGTCCTGGAACTCACTCTGTAGACCAGGCTGGCCTCGAACTCAGAAATCCGCCTGCCTCTGCCTCCCAAGTGCTAGGATTAAAGGCGTGTGCCACCACTTCCCAGCTGACCATGGCAACTCTTATAAAGGCAAACATTAAATTGGGGCTGGCTTATAGTTTCAGAGGTTTAGTTCATTATCACCATGATGGAAAGGATGCAGGCAGACATGGTGCTGGAGGAGCTGAGAGTTCTACATCTGGATCAGCAGGCAGCACGAAGTGAACTGTCTTGAGCTTCTGAGTCCTCAAAGCCTACCCCCTGGTAATACACTTCGAATAAGGCTACACTGACCCCAACAAGGCCGAACCTCCAAATAGTTCTATCCTTTATGGATCAAGTATTCAAACACAAGAGTCTATGGGGCTCATTCCTTTTCAAACTACCATAACTCCCCACCCTTATTTCTATCACTAAAGAAAAGATGAAAGGCTGTATTAAAGACATGGGGATGATTTTACTTCTTCATAATTCCCTTGTGATAAAACTAAACACAAACATGCTAAGATGGTTATAATGCTAAGTCTACATAATTCTAGGTAGTAAGACTAAGTCAGCAAATTGCGTGTGTAGGCTTTACAAATTAGTTTCTAATCTTATGAAAAATACTTCCCAGTACTGGCTAAAATTGACTCTACTTCCTCAGTGCACACCCGTATGGACCACCCTTGTGTCTTATAAATGAGCACCACTGAGATTGTGTGTAGGTAAAACTATTCTTAGTCAAAAGACCAACTACTTACTGTTTGTTATCTTTTGTAAGTTAGTCCTGGTTACTAAAGTTTTGCCTTACTCATGACAAAGGATTCCTTTTTAGAATTCCCCTCATATTTCTAAAAAAAGTTTAGAGAACAGGGATACTTGAATTTAAATTTTTAAAAATTACAGTTGTTTGCTTGTTTGTTTATTTATTTATTTATTGTGTGTGTGTGTGTGTGTGTGTGTGTGTGCTGTGTGTGTGTCAGGGGCAGATGGAGAGGAGGTGAGTCATGGATACCATGACACCTTTGTGGAGGTCAGAGAACAACTTGCAGGCATCTGTTCTCTCCTTCAACCACATGCATCTCAAGGATCAAAAGCAGGTTGTCAGGCTTGGTAGCAAGTGTCTACACACTGAACCATCTCACTGGCATGTGGTACATGAATTTAAATTAAAAAAAGAATAATGACTGCAAAATGTGCTCTCTAATGTATCTACGAGGAATAGCAGACATTTGAGTGGCATTATTGTTTATGATTTAACAGTCTAATTATCTTCTGCCAGCAGAACTTTGGAGTTTTTCTACACTGCACTGACATGTGCTTCAGTATTGTGTCTAATTTTGTTTTGCTTCCCCTTCTCATGTGATTAAAAGACTGAAACAAATTATATGTTTTTTCTCATACTTTTTCTTCAAATTATCTATCTGACAATTATCTCCTGAGAAACAATGGTCTAGGAACTGCACTAGTCCCTGGGAATAAAACGATATGCAAGACTACCCCATGCCTTTCCTTCTTAGTCGGTGTTCTAGTGAGTAACAGACATGTCAAGTGACTATACAACCCAGGAATAAGTACAAAGTGATGTAGGAGTTAAAATAGGAGAATGTGACCCACATCTGAGCACCAAGGAAGATTTTCGTAGATAACATTTTATTTAAAATAAGATTTAAGGGATGAGAGAAGTGCTTAGTAGAGGCAAGAAAGGGATATAGGGAAAATGGTCCAGACAGAAGAAACAGTATACACAAGGTTCATGAGGAAAGAGTAAGCTTGGCCAATTCACAGGCAGTATGGCTAATGGAGGAAGATCAGGAGGAAATGAGTTTGAGAAAGAAGTAGCTTGGGGCTCCATAATTCCGAGCTTTCTGTCATGCCAAGGACCTTAGTCTTTTCTCTAATGACACTGGAATCCTTGAAAGCATTTTATGTGAGAAACAAAATAACTAGATTTGTACTTCAGAATAATCTCTCTGTAGTTCATCATGGAAATCTGATTAGAAGGTGGTGATGTATGGAGCCAGCAGACTCGTTAGAAGAGTGAGACTGTGGTCAGGGAGGAGATGGTGCAGCTTGGTGAGAGCCGTGGAGTTGTGAATATATATGAGCATGTGATTGTATCACTTAAAGTATCACTATCTATACTTTATATAGTTAGAATCTGATAAATTAGAATCTTTCTATATAATATATTCTGGTAACACATTTTTAGAACAATGACAATGATTGGTTCTTTGTTTTCATCCCTTAGGTCTCCTTGGAAGAGATCATACAGTACTTCACAAACAACAATTGACACCAAGGAGGTTAAAAACTTCCTGGCCCTGGCTCACAAGTGGTGGGATGAGTATGGAAAGTTTGCAGCTCTTCATTCTATGAATGACCTACGAGTGCCATTCATTAGGTAACAGTCCAGAAACTCCCTTTAAGTCTTAACTTAAAAGTGCATCCTTCGCTAATTCACATTCCCTTCCCTTTTGATTTACTTACATTCAAAGTTTTACATTTTAGAGTTCCATTGGAAATTAGGGATATTTCTCATCATGATTTAAAACTACCAGCTTTAAGGTGGAGAGATGGTTCTGTAAAGAACCCTTGCTGCTCAAATAGGGTTTGGTTCTGATCACCCACATCAGGCAGCTTACAACCAGTCCAGCTGCAGGGGATCTGACATCCTCAGTTGGCTTCCGAGGGTACCCTGGGCTCATGTTCACATACCCAGAAACATAATTGAAAATTAAAAAATATATATTTAAAGCCATTTACTTGTAGAAACAGTACTAAAATCTCAGGTTGCTTTTACAACTTAACTTGAAATAATTTTTGGCCCTGTTATGTCAGTTAGAAATCAGTCCCGATGAAATGGCCCGAAAGTGCTGTGTCTTGAGGTTCCATTTATAGCTACTGATCTGCGGTGGCCTTGGTGACCTTTAGGCAGTTCTGATAAAGGAAACGTTACAGAGACAGATTGGCTCACTAGACTCTTTTGAGAGCTGATGTTGATGGGGGTTTAGTACCAGCCTTTGAAACCTACTTGGATAAATGAAATGTGGACCACATGTTTCAGTGGGAGGTAAAGAAAGACATGAGTTGAGAGGTCTTGCCAGTGATGCAGTCTGCATTTCAATACATCTGGGAGATTCCAGCATTACTAAGTTTGACAACTATAGTCAAACAACTGTAGCATCTTTATTTATTTACTTACTTATTTAATTTTTATGTGCAATGGTGTTTTTCTTGCATGTGTGTTTGTATGAAGGTGTTGGAATCTGGAGTTACAGATAGTTGTGCGCTGCCATGTGGTTGCTGGGAATTGAACCCAGATCCTCTGGCAGAGCAGTCAGTGCTCTTAACCACTAAGCCATCTCTCCAGCCCCCATCTATTTATGTATCACATAAAACACGTCATCTAGCATGATGTAAACCATGTGTACGTGCTTGGATTTTGTTTTCATCATAACTAGAAGCCATCAGAAGAAAATAATATGGTTTGAAAATAATAGCAACATCACTTTGTGACTGTTTGAAGAATGGATTGGACTTCATTTGATGCAGATCATTTCCTATAACATCCTGAAGGGATCAACTTAGCTAATGTCTGGATTATTTTAAGTCTAAGATGTTCATTATATATATGTTTATTTTAGTATATGTATAATTAAATTCATATATCCAATTTAAAGCTTAATTTGCAATTCTATACTATAAAGTATGTAACAGGTTATGTTGGTGCATGTGCAAATATGTTTGTGTATGTGGTAAAGCATTACTATGATTATTGTAGAATAAGTTTACTTGATTTTTGGTGTGAGTGTACATAGTCATACATGAACAGGCCCCACTAATTTAGAAGATTACAGGAGACATAATAAAGAAGGGAATATAGACATCTTAAATAAATGTGAAACTCTTACCTGCTTTTTAAATCTGTAAATAATGTATGAAGTTATCCTAGAAACTTCTGAAAACATAGTCAACAGAGGCTTTAAATTTTCATTCCATATTGTTGAGACAGTTTGACTGAAAATGTAGTTGAATAAAATTAGGTTCATTTGACTAGATTAGGTTGAAATTTTTTCTTTAGATTATTACTAGAGCAATGATAGATTAATGGCAGATAATCTCAGAACCTTGACTATCAAATGTACAAATTAAGTAGATCATTTCATTCTGAAAATAAAAGATAGGTTTATAATGATTCATTTCAAATGAGGATTCTGGACTAGACATGGTGGCAACTCTTCTGTGAACCCAGAACTCAGGTGTCTGAGAAAGGAAGATCGGGAGCTCAGGGTGTGTCTAAGCCTTGTAGCGAGCTCCTGTCTCAAAGTAAGACAGTGAAATAAGCAAATCAAATTAAATGAAGGTGAATATTTCCTTAAAGACTGTATATTTTAAAACCTTTTGTTGATTAAAAGTAGTTGTCTGTTTTTATATATTTTGAATTTTTATTTTAAAGAGACAATCTTTTAAAAACAAGTGCTAATCACTATCCAGGAAAGCCTTTATCTGGGATGAAGATTCTTGACGTTGGCTGTGGCGGTGGGTTATTAACTGAAGTAAGTACCTTACAGAGCCTTTTCCATTTTTTGCCCCGCACATGAGAATTTCTTAATGTGTCTAATAGTGCTAGTGAGATTAATAAATTCTTAAAATCATCCAAATAATAATTAAGTAGATCACATCAGGATGTTTACAGAAGCAATGCATTTCAAATAAATTCTAACTCATTCTTCAAATGAGAATACATGCATTATTAAGAATTTTATACATGCATTTAATGTGTTTTGATCAGAATTTTGTTATTTGGGGTAAAAAAATTGAGAAGTGGGTTTCTGCTTCATTTATCCTTTTAGCAAATAATATTATTTTAGTGAATAGTACTAATTTTAGTATTATTATAAAAGTTTTGTTTTTAAAATTAAAAAAAAATTTCATAAAACTCTACTGAAGATTTTGGGGTTTGTTTTTAATAATAAATAGGAATATGACGTTCAAATAGCTTTGCTTGATCTCTTCTATCCCAAGAAGTTAGGCAGTTTCTATGAGATTAAATACAGGTTTAGTCTGTCCTTTTATACATCTCAAAGCCTACAAGAGTTTTGCTCCTTGTGGGGATCAGTTCTTTCAGGTGCTCTGGAGTACTTAGATGTGCGGTTATTGTTTCCGAGTGGGAGATATATGTCTTACAGCTGTGCTCTCCAGTCTTCATTAGCACAGGACCTTTTGCATCATAATTTTATCTTTGATAGATATTTTCATTTATAGTTTTAGTATTTTATATGCTGCCCTTTGAAACACAGAATAGCAGTTTTGACTTATGAAAATTTTTAATTAGATTAATTTTTTAAAATTTCATGGTGTATGCTATATTGACATAATTTCTCTCCCCTCCATCTCCTCCCTCCAACCCTCCCCATGTTTCCCATATCAAATCTATGGCCTCTTTTAAAACATTACTGTTACACATATGTATAAGAACGAATATATGAATACAACCTGATGGTTTGTTGGTTCTGTTTAGTATTGCTTGAATGTATATATTTTTAGGGCCAACTACTTGGTATTGGATAACCAATTTGGATAAACTTTATTGTTAACAAGTGTTCTGTTTTCTTCTTAAGCATAACAATTTTTATGCCATTAGCCTCTAGGGCGACTGGGAGCTTCAGTTGTTGGAATCGATCCCGTGGCTGAAAACATTAAGATAGCACAGCACCATAAATCATTTGATCCAGTGCTGGATAAGAGGATCCAGTACAAAGTGTGTTCCCTGGAGGAGATTGTGGATGAGAGTGCAGAGTTGTTTGATGCCGTTGTGGCTTCTGAAGTTGTAGAGCATGTGATCAACCTGGAAACATTCATACAGTGCTGCTATCAAGTATTGAAAGTAAGAATTGGCTTCTTGTTTGCTTCTCAAAGTGTGTATCCATAGAATGCATTGTGCTGGGATACTTCAGCAGTTCAGCAAGTAAGATAGGAGAAAGACAATGAGAAAGAAAGATTAGGGCCTGGTATCTCTGCCAAAGATGACTTCTGCCCCTATGCTGCCTTCAATAGCAGGTCTTTCTAGTCTTTGAGGCCTTAATGCTGCACTAATCTATGGCCTATAAATATTTTTAAAGACGGTAAAATTATGGGTATGTGCATGTGAGTGCTGATCCCTGCGGAAGCTAGAGATACCAATCCCTCCTGGACCTGGGGTTACAGGAAGTTGTAGACTTCCCGGGATAGGCATTGGGAAGTGACCTTGGGTTCTGTGCAAGAGCAATATGCATGCTGAACCACTGAACTGCCTCTCCAGCCTCCGTCCATGCTTATTTCTTTAAAATTTGCCTTCCTTTATTAGATGCATGTGAGTGTTTACCTTCATGTATGCCATGTCATGTTTACCATGTTTTTGTTGTCCTCAGAGGCCAAAAGAGGGTGCTGGTCCCCTGGGATTAGAGTTAAATATGGTTGTGAGCCACTTTGTGTGTTCTGGACATCTACCTGGGGTCTCTAGAAGAGTAGCCAGTGCTCTTAATCAGAGTGGTCCCTCTAGCCCCTGCTCATATATTTTAAAGAAAGTTTTATTTCCATTTATTGAAAATAGAATTTTTCTCACATACTATATCTTGATTATGGTTTCCCTCCGTCTACTCCTACCATTTCCTCCCCCGCTCTGCTCCCCTCAGGATCCACTCCCTTTCCATCTCTTACTGAAAACAAGCAGGCTTCTAAGGGACAATTATAATATGATATGGTATGTTATGATATGACATGATAAAACAAAAAACTAGCATATCAGACTTGGACAAAACAAGCAAACAAAAGGAAAGATACCCAAGAGAAGACACAAGAACCAGAAACATACTTGTTTGCACATCCCATAAAAACACTAAGTGGAAGCTATAATATATATACAGAGGACATGGTGCAGACCTGTGAGGCTCGGCTGTCTCCGTTTGATTTTGATGTCCTCCATCCTCTCTGAATCTTATACTCTTTCGGTTTTCTCTTCCTCAGGCTTTCCTGAGGGAAAGGATTTGATGGAAACATCACATTTAGGGCTGAGTGTTCCATAGTCTCTCACTTTATACATAATGTCTTGCTGTGGGTCTCTGTCTTTGTTCCCATCTACTGCAGGAGGAAGCTCCTCTGATGATGGCTGAGCAAGACACTGATCTATTAGTGTAGCAGAATGTCATTAGGAGTCATTTCATTGCTATGTTTGTTCATTTTTCTTTGGTTTTGGTTTTACTCTAGGTCCCTGGGATATCTAGACTCAGGTTCTTGGTCACCCAAGTAGTGTTGTATATGGGTTCCTTCTTATGGAGAGGGCCTTAAGTCAAATCAGATATTGCTTGGTTTCCCCTCCAAACGTTGTGCTACCATTTCTCTAGCATTTGTTGCATGCAGGACACCATGTAGATCAAAGTGTTTGTGGCTGCTTATTTTGGTATCTGCGTTTCTCTTTTGATATCATGCAAAGTACCTTCCTGTATCAAAGACACTGGTTCATAGGGGAGGAGGCTTTATATGGCACTAGCAGGACTTCTCCATCTTCAGTGAGCTGTGTGGGTGTTGCTTGCTGTCAGTTCGTGAAGAATAACCTATAGTCTTGGCAACAGGCTAGGTTGTTTTGGGAGTCTCATGGGACCTCTTTGGCCAACAAATCAACAAAGATGTCTATTTGGGGCTCAGACTTCCCCTGTTATTTGGTGATTTTATTTAGATTGCTTTCATATATGTATACATTCTAGGAAACTTCTATTTTATCCCCTCAGATTGTTCTTAATTTTAACTGTCTCCCTGTTTTCCTTCCTTTGGCCCCCTCTCCCCATCACCTATTGGTCCTCCCATTCTAGACTTTCCTTCCATCCGTATCTGTTTATTCTATTTCCCTTTCCTAGTGAGGTCTATGTGTCCCCACTAGTCGCTTACTGTATACCTAACCTCTAAGGATTGTAGCTTGGGTATCACAGATTTAATGATAACATAGAGCTAATATCTACACATAAGTGATTCCATACCATACTTGTCTTTCTGGGTCTGAGATAACCTCACTCAGGATAATCTTTCCATCCATTTTCCATTTTACCTGCAAATTTTAATGTCTCATTCTTCTTAACAGCTGAACAGTATTCCAGTGTGTAAATGTATCACATTTTCTTTATCGCTTTTCCTGTTGCATAACATCTAGAAATTATTTTCAATTTCTTATTGTTATCAGTAGAACAACAATGAACATGGTTAAGCAAGTGTCTCTGTGATAGGATAAAGCATCCTTTGGATACAGCTGGCTCTTGAGATAGAGTTCCATCTTTCTACCTCAGTACCTGTGGAACTGCCACACTGGTTTCCATGGCATCTATACATGTTTGCAGTCCTGTGGCAATGAATGTTCTCCCAAGTCTCCATGCTTACAATCATGAGCTATCAACATAACTCTTACAAACTCACGGAAACTGAGCAACCCACAACTGAACGAAAATGGTTAGAGACAAATATTAAGAAAGAAATTGAAGGCTTTCTGGAATTGAATGAAAATGGATACAATTCCCTTTGGATGTGATTTCTTTTTTTTTTTTCTTTTTTCTTTCAAGTATCAAAAGATTTTTTTTATTTTTTTCAAGTATCAAAATAGATTTTATTTTCATTTTTTTCAAGTTTCAAAATAGATGTTATTTATTTATTTTTTACATATACTTTTTGGTTTGTTTGGGTTTTTGTTTTTTGGTTTGTTTTTCCTGGCTATTTTATTTATTTACAATACAGATGTCATCCCCTTTTTCCCATTTCCTCTCCCTAGAATCCCCTATCCCACCCCCCTCATCCTTTATGCTTTTATACCATTTTGATTACATGCATGTGTTAAGGTCAGTTCTAGGTTGAGGGTCTAGCAGTACAATAGATGCAAATAGTAAAGGAACAAGCAATACAATAAACACAAATAGTCAAAGAAAAAGCAAGGCATTAAATCCAATTACATGAACACTCCCATGATCACTGTTTCTAAGGGCTTATCAGGATGATCAAAGTATCTGAGCCTACTTCCCTGTCCTAGCCCAAGGTCACTTTCA